TTAGAAATGGAAAAGGGCACAGAATAGAGGTGAGGTATCCTAGATGATCCATAGGAAAAAAAATATGTATAAAATATAAATTTAGGTATATATACACATACATGCACATGCAGGATTGTCTAAAAAAAATACAATTGGGGAACTCATATTTTAAAAGTTTTTAAACCACTGTTCTCTACGAGATGATGGTGACTATTAGTTGGCTTCTAACATCTTTTCTTTGGAAATTGCAATAATTATTTTTTGTGCTTTTATTCCTTTTCTTATCACTATGTAGCAGTGGTTCTTCTTGCCATAAAAATGAGCATGCACAGGGAAGCCCACATGCACATTTGCATATAATTTCAGGGTGTTCACAAATACCCCATTAAGAATCTTGACTGTAGAGAATCATTTTACTGCACCCCCCACCCCAGGGATATAGCATTTGTTCCCCCTTTTTTTTCCTTCTGAATACTCTGTTCCAGCATTTCTATCCTTGTTTTGTCAATCTGAAAGTTATGAGTACGATTTTTTTTCAATTTACTCCTCAAGTTTAGAATTCTGACCTGCAAGTGAAAGAAGTTTCTTCTAGTTTTATTTTGCTAGTCTACCTATTTGTCATTAAACTTACTTTGAGGCTCAGAACAAACTATTCCAAATCCAGTATTTCTCTCACAGAATGGGGAGTATTACCCCATTTCTCTCCATTTATGGAAGTGGTACCTATTTTACCAATATTAATATATGTTGATAAAAGTCCGATGGTAGCCAAACAAGAATGAGAGGCAATGTTTTTATAACCGGTGATGGGGTTTTAGCAGGGATCTCAGCCATCTGGCTATGGGTGGCCTTCATCAAGGAAGCTCCTTGTACTTCCTTGATTACAGCCCTGGCCCCTGGGTAAAATGGGAATAGGGATCAGGCATTTTTTCAACTATTCCTCAGAGTTCTAATTTTTGTACTTTTCTAAGTGAAAAAGCAGAGCAGGTTTGACCTGCCCTCCTTAGAAACTACTTAATGATTCTTCATCGTGGGAACCTTCCAGCCTATTTTGTGATGTCTGGCCAACCCTAGTTACAGCTAACATCATAAAACGTTAATCTTTTAAAGATTTGCTTCAGTGCACACTGTGATAATTTCCTACTTAAGAGATTTGGCCATGCACATTTTTTTTTCTTTCCTGTTTGCTTAGGACTTTAGTTTCAAAGTATAATTAAAACTAATTACCAAAAATAAAATTCAGGATTCTGGTCCACCGTGATGGTCAGATGAAGCATTCCTTTTTTTTTTTCCTATGTTGTTTTATTTTTGCTAAAAGAAGACAAAAATAGCTCTAGCAAGTGATTTGACTTCACAGGTGTGTTCTTCCCAAGTCTTTCCCCATCCTCCTTTTATCCATAATGACTGTCAATATTTGGAAGCAACAGTATGATATAAAGGAAAATCAACTGTCATTTTGTTTCTGAGAGAACTTGATGCCCCTGTAGATATATACAAACTTTGATATAAAGAAGTAAAAACAATCTCTTCTTTGTCACTTGGCTGTTCAACTTTTTGTGAGTCATCTTTATTTTTCAATAATCTAAGACAACCTAATGAAAACCCTCTGTGGTTTCAGTTTACTCCTTTAAAAAATTATCTTGGGATGGAGAGAAAAATTCATAAATTTATATTTAAAATCAATTTATATAGTTTTTTAATCAACCCCAGTTTTGCCTTAAAATCCCTTATTTTATTTTTTTTAAAAGTATGCCATCATTTAAGCTTTTTACTAAATTCTTTGCTTGAGATTTGTTGTACTAAACTTAGCAACACCCCCCTCCACCCGTCTCTCCACACACACTGCATATAAAAAAGACAATCCCCTGTAGTAAGAATTGATTATATGATCTCTATTGATATTGCCTGTGTCTGCTTTATAACCTAAAGTTTGTAAATTATTGGGAAAGAGTCTGAATCATAGTAGATTGATGCTAAGAAGTCAGATAATTTCAGAACCTTGTGGGAACTTTCTGGTTTCCACTCTTTTATCTCCTCAGAAGACTTTTTCATGAAAGACAGGGCTTAGTGGCGACTTTCTAATGCAGAGTTAGTCTTTAGTTTTTTGTTTAAAAATGACACTTTGAACATGTAGAGCATTATGCATTTGAAGGTCTGTTGCCAAGCAGCTTGAGACCTAGGGGGCATTGTTGAATTTGAAGGAATAGTGGGTTCAGGGAAGGGGCCAAAAGAAAACTTGAGAAAAATAGAGTAAGACTGAAAGTGTTTTATGATAATTAGAATAAAAATTGGATATCAGAACTTCACGGGTCACCTTCTGTTCACACATTTGGCTTTCACCTTGCAAAGAAAGGGATGTATCAGGTAATTAGGTCAAATCAATGATTATATATCTTTAACTCAAGTGGAAGGGACTGTAATTGTGATGAAATTTGTCTGAAGGGGAACGCATGGGGAATCTTGTCAAAGGTCATGAGTTCAAAGGGGAAATTAAGTTCAAGGTTCGGTTCCTGTTCACACACCCCTACTAATAGCATATAACAAGAGACAAAACAACCAGCGTTTCTATAAACTAGTTATTTTATCTTTTGGGGGGAGCAACAAGAATCTCTCACTTGTATCCTTTCAGGGATACAGAATTAAAGTAGTTACACAGCCTTACTGGGGTGTCTTCTCCTGATGTGGAAGAAGAGAAAACCTCTAGGATTATATTTCCTGATTGTTGGCTTCTTCTGCTTTGTTACTAATCATGCACAAGACACTCTGCTGCATGGAATGCAAATAAACAGCCCATCTCCAAGGTATCACATGGCCACGTTTTCCCTACTGCAAATTCCTGACTTGTTTACAGGATAACAATAAAATATTACAAATTTAAAGTTGGAGGCAATGGGGAGATAGCTAAGAAAGTTGTTTGGGGATTTTCTCTCTTTCTTTCCTGAATTCTATTTCCCCTTAAACTTGACAAAGTGGAACCAAAATTCACCCTTGTCTTGGTCATTCTTCTGAAACAAAGGGTCTATTCTTCCTTTTAATGCTTGTAGAACTTCCATTAAGGTTGACCGTAAGCTCTTGCAATGGATGAAAAAAGAAAAAGCCCTCAAATCTTTTCTTTACCCTGGTATAATTTTTAAAGGACAAACAATAAGAACATAGTTTCACATAGTGGCAAAGAAACCCTGACAGAGGAGGCATAGCCTTTAAGGCCCTATGGCCTTTAAATATTCTGGATTCCATGTTTCATCCCAATTCATCTATAAAATTATTCTAGTAAGTATTTAGGAAAGAGGAAATACATATTAGAAAGAAATTACCTAATTGCTTAAAATCAAAGTTCTTGCAAATATTTAAAATTTTTTTCACCCAATCAGGTATTACATTTGCAATTCATACAGTGATGGTATTACTGATTGGAAGCCAGTAAGAGGCATATCTAGTAAAAAATATCAACTGGGCAGTCTGTTTCCACTACTTCAGAGCAGGGCTTGTGGGTGTGGGCACACAACCACACATGCATTAGGGCCAAACCAAACAGGGCTAATGGCTAAAACAGTGCTTTAATGTTAAATGTGATTCATGTAACATAATATAGAAATATTTCAAATATAAACATAAGCAACCAAACCCCAGTTGCCTTTGGAAAATTTTCATAGAAATAGACTTGCCATAAAACAGCACAAGAAGGCATTTGGTGAAAGCCAACCCCATATTTTTGCTCATGAATTTTATGGTATTTATCATGTCTGGTGCTTGGATGGGCTTATTATCCTGGGGTTTCTTTTTGAACAACTTTATCTTTTTGTGTCAGAATGTATGTAATTTCTGTCTGTAAACTCTAAGATACTTGCTGAATTTTAACAACAACAACAACAAAAAAGAAAAAAACCCTCTCTGACACAGATTGTGATTGATAAACTATTTTGGAATAAACAGGCCTGTGAATGCAGAAGATTCTAGGAGGCAGGTGCCTCACTTAACTGAATGGATTTGGGTGGGAGGAATAAAGGGCTGGGGCAGTTCACTCTTTGGTTAAACTCTAGCAACTAAAATTTCCACTCTGGTAAAATTTAGAAGTTCAAGGAACAACATTGCCACGATATTAATGACCTTTGAGGGCATATGGAGTTCAGAGTTCATTTTCTATTTACAACATCCCTTGCTGCTCCACCTCTTACCCTTCCCCCTTGGGGGGGAAAAAAAAAGCAATTATTTAGGACATTGTGACATTCAGCCTGGCTAATTTTTATACAAAAATAGAGACAGTGGAAAATATCGCAGTTAAGTATTAGTAATGGATAGAACTGGGGGTGCCCAGGGTGGGGAGAGGGTATCCCCTGAGCAGTTCAAAGTTCATTCTTTGTTCACATATAATGAAAAGTCTTCAGTTATCAGGTATTTAAACCCAAATCAGCAGTTCCATATCCGTAACCTGAGCTGAGTGTTCCTCCATCTAATGGCCATGCTGCTGTCGTTCGCAGTGAGTTCGGTGACACTCGATTTGTACTCTGAGACGGGAACAGATGGGCTTTCATTGTGAGACTCCGCCTGTATGCAAATGTGAACGGAGTTTCACCCGATCCCGGGGTCTGACCTGACCGTGCACATGCATTTACTCAACGTGGCTCAGCCTGGGGGGGCAGCGAAGGGGGAATAAAAAATGGCAATCGGATAGTACCAGCGGCAGGTCAAGTTTACCATCCGTCTTTCAGCGGGACTGAGATGGCAACACAGTTATTTAGTTTCAGTGTTGATGTGCGTTGCAATAAACTCCATCATTTCACCTGTTTATGAACCCAGCCTCGTATGAGATCTCTGCGAAATCAAACAAAGCTGGCAATCAACTCTCTTGTTTCCAGCAGAATGGGGGATTACGGACTCTAAATAAATAAATAAATAAATAAATAAAGCATCTTTCTTCCCCTCCCCCCTTGCCTTACATACATAAATCAATATTTCTCTCCAGCTCTTTTTATTTCTTACATTGAATTTATTAATTTCTTATTTGGAGGAAACAAAATATATTTTTCCCCAAATGCTTTTTGTTTCAAATTAAGAAATATGATCACTAATGTCAGAATAAACAACCAGCATTTTAGATGCCGATTAACTGTTGTGCATGTACACAGCAATGTACAGTCTCTAATAAATCTTACAATTAAATGTGCAGCCCTTCATTAGAGCGAAAATATGAACAGCTGTAATCATACGCATTCTATTGACAGAGAAAAATTTGGTTTCATTTGTAATTTTTCACATTGAGAAAGAATGAGAGATGGATTGGAACCATGGGTGTTTCTGTAACTGTGGGCTTTTTCTTCACATGTACAGAAGGACAACAAACCAGTGTCTCTGACTTCGGGGTCTAACAGCAGTGATTTGCCTCAATTTTCTTCTCTCATGAAAGTTAAATTTCTCTTGGGAAACATATAAGCCTTTGGCTAGAAAACCCATAGGACAGACACCCCCAAACTATAACAAATAACGAATTGATGCATTTCTTCAGTACATCTGTTCTTTAAGGGGGTTCTGTTAACTGATGTCTGGAACTGGCATAAAAGAAAGAGTTGCTAAAAATATAGTGAAAGTTGATGCATGCAGCAAAAACTGCTTCTGGCAACAAAAGACACTGCTTCTGGCAACACACACATATTGCTCAGAATGGAAAGAGGGTCTTTTGAACTTGTATTTGTGCAAGTGCAGGCAAAACAAGTCAGGCTTCCCTCAAAAAATGGTGCCAAATTGTCTCTGCCTAAGGATTCCTCTCCACCTCCCCTGATTTCAGTCTCACTTAAAGGTGCAAGGCCAACATATCAGGACAGTATTTCCAAGCAGTTCTAGAGAGTTAGGCTTGAAATAATTCCAAATGGAAATAAATGGTCAGGACTAGGACTAGCATTTGTCTACTAGGCACCTAGAAGTAGCTGACAGAGATAATAAAGAATAAAGAGTTGCATGACACTATAGCAGGTATTAAAAAATGTCATACGTCTCTCCTTGGCTATTGAAAATTGATTTGATTGCCTTGCCTGGTCTCTGAATATGTATTTACAAGTAGATGGGCAGTTTTAAGAGACTATATACGTGGACATATATGTATATATACATCCTGACACATATGTATGTATTTCAATCGATGTACATAGATCCTTCCTTATACAAACAAGGATTTATGTGAATGCAGGATTTTGAGTCCATATAAACTTTAGCTGGTGGTTGAGTTATTAGAGGCCACCTTAAGTTAAGAATATAATTTATACCCTTAGAAAATTTACTTGAGAATTGTCAAGGCAGTGCTTACCAGGGAATTCAAAATGTTTATTTACGTTAGCAGCAGGAAACTCATATGTTCTAAGTTTAACAAGAGGCTCTAACAAAGTTATATTCTGGCATGAGTAAGATCCTGAAGTTTTTTTTTAAATATAGTGAAAAAGGAAAATGACAATATTTGTAATATGAATATTGTAGCCAAGTGATTGGGACCACTCCTTACAGCTGTTTGCCTTAGTAAGATGATACACTGTCCAAAGTGTTACATAAAACAAGCTTGCAATTTGGAAGTCAGCAGTTTCTTTTTTAAATGTTCTACTGAAAGCAATGTCATGAATTGGGAAGAAAATGCTTCTATTTTTTTAAGTTCTTGAGGAAGAAACAGACCAAACACCATCAGTTACCCCTGATGAGAGCTCTCCATTTTTTAGAAAATGATACTCTTCATGTCTTCATGAAACCTGTGAAAGTTCATTTTGCTCAAGCGGTTGTGCCACAAAGTACTTACAAACAAGGAGGTACTCGCTCAAATAAGTAATAATCGTAATAGCAAACATTCATACGGCTCTTATTATATGCCAAGAACTCCTGTAAGTGCATTACATATATTAACTCATTTAATCCTGACAAAGATCCCCTGAGGAACATGTCTTATTTTTATCTCCATTTTACAGATGAGGAAAATGAAACTTGCCCAAATAGCTTCTCCCTGAAAAAGAAAATGGAAAATGTGAGAAATTAGGACTCAGACTTTTGGAAAGATCTTCCATGTAATGGGACCAATGATTTTCCCCCCTTTATGCCTAGTTTATCAGTAGAAAACTATGATATATTCAGTAAAAATCACATTTGTGAAATATGCAACCTATTGGATTAGCTCTAAGAAGGAAACGAGTACCATTTCTGTTCCTTTTAAAGCTTTGCCAATTTAGAGATCGCTGTTTTTCACCCACGACATGGTGTGAAATTTCTAAGAAAGTGCTGGGAAGTCATGAAAACTCCCTCATAGGGGAGGTGTCAGAACCAGAGCGCAAGGTCCAGTCCGGGTGAGAGAAAAAGTTGTATGCTTTTCTTAAATTTGACATATCCAGTCTATGACTCTAACCATTAGCAACAAAATTTGTTTCCTCAGGAGCATTTCATTATTTTCCTTATTTTGCTCTAACTTAGCTCAATTATACCTTTGGAAGGGTGGATGAAGAGAAATTAGGCAGAACATAAAGGTCTATTCTTTCTCCTCTTTTTAAATAGCAATTTTGTATCATATCCTAGTGTACCAGGGACTGGGTTGTGATCCATTCAATTCACAATGAAAATAATGGCATCCATAGGTCATAATTAACCTCTGAATCCTAGGTTGCCGGGAGCACTCAGCAAAGGTGTGTACCCCATTGGCTCTAGAAGAAGGGGTGGGGGGAGCCACCTTGTGGCTAGAAGATGGCCCAGCAGCCTCCAGGGTCCTTGCTTGTTCTCAGTGGGAAGAAAAGAGATGAGCGTAGAGGGCAGAGATAAATCAGAAATATCAATCACTAAATATTTGTGGAAAGTGGTAAGGGGTATAAATAGAATCTATAACTACAATAACACTGAAGCTGTAGTTGTAAATATACATTATCCTCTTTAATATGACATAGAGTAGATTGAGAACTGAGAAATTATTAAGACCCCCACATAAAAAAATTGGAAGAAAGAATGAAAACATTTAAGTTAAAATTATGTTCATTTTGTAATTCAATAAAGAAATCCCAGAGACATATTTTTAAATTTAATGTTGTTTTCTAAAGCATAGAAAAAGCCCCACAGACATCTGTTTGCATACATTGTGTGTCAGGCAACATCAGATTTGAATGGAATTTATCTAAATTTTATATGCATGGCTTGATGTAAATTGAAATAAATTGTACAGCATACTCTGCGTGGACATATTGGTTTTTCCATCGCTGCTTGAACTTTTAACCCCAGGGCCTGGGCCGGTCACACGTTGACCTGTCTGAACTCTGCTGGTAGATCCAAGTGTGGAAGGCTGACCTTGCATCCATGGCAACCAGAAAGTAGGGTCCATGACTCCTCTCTCCCTTTCTCTCTCTTTTCTCCACACTCCAAACAAAACAAAACAAAACAAAACAAATTAGTATATTCTGGCACAGTCAGTCAGTGTAATCTTGGAATAGTTTTTGCCAAAATGCATTTTGCCCCTAACCCAAGCTCTAAGCAAAGCTTTTTCAGCTGGCTTGTCAGATGTTAATGAAAGTTTGAAATGAAAGCCTTTATAAAAGTTAATGGAAAAGACCCCTTCCTGGGACACATTTAGTTTGCTTGTCTACCATTATAATAAAATATACTTCCCATACTCATATATTAAGTAACATTACTATAGGTATGTTGTACATGCAGATGAAAATCCTACTTGTGGAGGATTTTGACATAATGCTTTATAGATAGATTTTTAAAAAATACTTAGTAAGATTTTACCACTGCCCACAATATCCATATCAGAGCTAATGCTTTCTAGCATCAAAGATCTAATGTATCCTAAAGGATAAGCATTGGGGACCTAGAGTTCATTTCTCTATTATAGGTTGTAATCTCCTTTTTAATTATGGTACTTTTATTATTCTAATTTTTTAAATTTAGATAATTGATCTTTAAACCCATGTACTAATCAGTTATCATTTTCATAATGTTGGCGGTAGTCCAAAGGTGTCATTTGTTCACTTCTAAAGTTAAAGTCCTGCTGATAGGATGTGTTTGTGGCTATTCGTGAATTAATTCAAGAAGCGTTTGTTAAAGGCCTGTTATGTAAACTTTCAACTAAGTTCTGGGAGTGAAACCACAAAGCAAAAGGTATGTAGCTGGTCTTAAGGAATTACAGCTTTATAGCAAGGCAGGACTATTACTTGGAAAGAGAAAAACTAGAGAACAATTAGACAGCAGTGACAAATGTATAATTGTTTAAAGTTGTATAACAACTGATAAGGAAATGTGGCATAATAGAGTTTCAACCGGTCAGTTGAGAGTGGATTGAATGAAGAAAGACTTCTTATGGACAAAGCCTTGGAAAAGGTAGTTGTCCAGGACTGGCAAGCAGACTTTTTAAGTTGAAGAGGTTTCATAAAATGAGCAAAAACTGGAATGGCATTGGTCATGTGCAGAGGCTGATAGGAAAGAAAATGACTAGACAATAGACCATGTGAGACTGGGAATAACAAGTATCTTTGAATACTCATGGACTGATCTGCTATGTTTTTAGATCCTGAAGTCTATATGCATGCCTGTTTTTTGTTTCTGAAGTTCTTGCAGTACACTAAACAAACAAAAAGGCTTGTGGGTTTGAGCTTTAGACACTATTATTACCCTTTTTTTTAGAAAGAATAAATAATAATTTTAATTTCTAACTACTATTTGACCCAGATATCTCACTCCTTGGTTTATACCCAAAGGACTTAAAATCAGCATAGTACAGTGATGCAGCCACATCAATGTTTATAGCAGCTCAATTTGCAAATAGCTAAACTGTGGAACCAACCTAGAAGCCCTTCAACAGATGAATAGATTAAAAAAAATGTAATACATATGCACAATGGAATATTACTCAGCCTTAAAGAAGAATGAAGTTATGGCATTTTCAGGTAAATGGATGGAACTACAGAACATCATGTTAAGTGAAAAAAATCCAATCCCCAAAAACCAAAGCCTAAATATTTTCTCGATAAGCAGATGCTGATCCATAGTAGTGTGTGGGTAGGGAAGGATGAAGGAACTTGGGATTGTACAGAGGGGAGTGAGGGGAGGGGTGGGGCCGTAGGGATGTGGAGGATGGTAGAACGAGACAGGCATTATTACCCTATATACATGTATAATTACACTACTGGTGTGACTTTATACCATGTATAGCCAGAGGAATGAGAAGTTGTGCTCCATTTGTTTACAGTGTGTCAAAATGCATTCTACTGTCATGTGTAACTAATTAGAACAAATTTTTAAAATTTTAAAAATTTAATTTCTGGAAGTTTGAGGTAGACACTTGAAAATCTCTGATGTTTCCCAAATTGGCTGCGGGCAACTAACTATAGGTAACAGGATTGATGGGAGAACAGCTTGGTGAAACAGGTCTCATGTAGTGGCTGTGAGGTAGTTTAAAAACAGCAATAAAAATACCATGAGAGTGTTTATCTTTGTCAGGCAATATCAAAAATAAAAAATGATAACATTGTGTGGGCAAGGAGAATCCAAAAATTCTCCCCTAGTCTACCTCTAGCATATCCTATGACCTTGTAAAGTCATTTTATCTCTTCAGGCCAGAACTTCTTTGTGTAATAATAAAAAAATATTTGACATTTCCTGGATTCTTACTTTATACCAGTTTAAAACACTTTCATTTAATTCTTATCTATCAGGTAAGCACCACTACTGTCCTGAGTTTACAGAGCAGGAAAGTGAGGTACTGTTTTCTAGGATCAAGTCCAGCTTTAGACTTTATGTGCTTCATCCACTCATTATACCAAGGGACAGCAAACTTATTTTGGTGGTGGTGGGGTGGGTACCGGACATTGCACTCAGGTGTACACCACTGAGCCACATCTCCAGCCCTATTTTGTATTTTATTTAGAGACAGGGTCTCACTGAGTTGCTTAGTGCCTCGCCATTGCTGAGGCTGGCTTTGAACTTCCGATCCTCCTGCCTCAGCCTCCCAAGCCATTGGGATTATAGGCATGTGCCACCACACCTGGAAAACTTTTTAATAAAGGACCAGATAGTTTTGGGCTTTGTGGTTCATATAGTTCCCTACAGTGGCAACTGTGTGATTAGGCCACTAATCACAGTGTGAAAAAAGACTTAGACAATAAGCAGATGAAAAATCATGGCTGTGTTCAATTTAAACTTTTTTATTTTTTTAATTTTTTAATTGTAGTTGGACATAATGCTTTTATTTTATTTATTTATTTTTATGGGGTGCTGAGGATCAAACCCAGCGGCTCACACATGCTAGGTGAGTGCTCTACCGCTGAGCCACAACCCCAGCCCCCAGTTTAAACTTTTAATAAACACTGAAAGTTGATTTCTATATAATTTCTACATGCCATGAGATATTATGTTTATTTCTCCCAGCCATTTAAAAATATTAAAAAATGGCTGGGCCTAGTAGCACACACCTGTAATCCCGTATGTTTAGGAGGCTGAGGCAGGAGGATTTTGAGTTCAAAGCCAGCCTCAGCATCTTAGCAAAGCCTTAAGAAACTTAGGGAGACCCTGTCTCTAAATAAAATAGAAAAAGGACTGGGGATATGGCTCAGTGGTTAAGTGCCCTGGGTTTAATCCCTAATATCAGTAATGAAATAATTAAATATATTGTTAAGTTACGAGATCTACAACTTAAGATGTGGAGTAGATGTAGTCTATGGGTCATAATTTGCCAACCTTTATACTACACTACACGGCTTCTCAGTGTACACAATAAGGAGTTGAACCAAATGTTCTCTAAAATGACTGTTATTTGTTTTTTTCAATTCAGTGATCTTTTAGCTCCAAAACTAGGTACCCAATTTGGGTTCAATATTATTTAAGTAAAAAAAGCTGCCTTGGGAAACAAGACTGCCCACCCCTTGTCTTCTGAGATATTCAAATTAGCTCAGAAGGATGAAGAATTGCCTTTGTTTAATTGATGTTTGGAGAAAGAGATTTCATTACCTTCTTTAACAAGCCATTTTGCATTAATGACTGCTCCTGTCAGGACTGCAGTCCTAATATCAAACCTGAATCCCTCACGACACAGCAGAAGCCCATTTGTTTCCCTTCCTAGAAATAGAGATGAGTTTGTCTGTGTCTTCTACCCAGTTCTACAATCCCTCCTGTACCTCCTATATCACCTTCCGCTGCAAAAGATAAAAACTTCCAATCCTCCCAGGCCTTTATTCTTTACCCACCTGGATAGTTTTATTCTCACCTAGATAGTTTTAACTTTCCAAGAAACCCTTTCCAAGATGTCTTTATTCCTCGTATAAAACAGAACCAAGAACTGGACAGGTTAGAGACCTCTTTTCTTTATCTGTATTTTAAAGTTTGATTTTCCAAAAATTTGTATGCAAAAATTGTCTATAAATTGTTGCCTAAAATATGTGTTTTTCAGGGTCCATATGTTGAACTCCTAACTGCTTTCATTGTATGATACTTTAAGTTATGTAGATGTAGCAAATTATCTCTTCCCTTAAAATCCAAGTGATTGTGAATGTGACACTTTTATTTTTTCTTCTAGCTTTAAAACTTACAGCCATTCTGGGGTTCACTTCTGTTTCCTTCATGTCTGTCAAGGGGAAGTGATAAAAACACAATATAAAATCTCCCATATATCACAATATTCAGACATATTCCCCCAGTTACAACCTTAACATTCAAACTCCTGAACAGTCTACTGAGCTGTATGCCTTATGGCTTCCCAAACATTGACAAGTTGTTTCATAGCAAGAAAATATCCCCTTATTATCTAACAACCTTCTGTATGGCCACATGATATGATAAATTCAGATAAATTTTGAAAGTTTTTCACCCCAAGCCTGTGGCTTTTACAGGCATTTTCCCCCCAGAAAACTAATATTAGCATAGATAGAGTTTCTCTACATAGGATGCTTCTATTAGAGGAGCATGAAAGAATGCAGCCACCTAAAGTCTGTCTCCTTTACGTGTGTTCAGTAGGGTCTCGAATATTCACTCGACAACTTTGGCCATGCAGCGGTAGTGAGACCAGTTGAGTAAAAGTGCTATTTGAGAATAAAACTTTCATCTCTTTATATTTCCAAGACTCCAGGTCATTGCTTAACAAATTACACAGGTGTTAGGTAAACTACTACTTGTGACTGGAAGGGGTCGAGGTAAGCTGTGATTAATCAAGAACATCCAGGAAGAGAATACTTTAGAAAGGAGAAACAATGCCATCATGGAGAGGCCCCCCTTCCCTACAACAGCATCACAGGAGAGGGCCACCAGGCTGCCCACCACTGCTGGCTTCTTAGTCCAACCAAGAAACAAACTTAAAGTTGCTGATGAAGTGAGACTCTAATACCCACTTGCCCCTATTGCTACAGCATTAAAAAGTTTGCCAC